ATTTCTTATTTGGTTTAAAAAAACTGATTTTTTAGTGTCTTAGATGAAGACAAATAGGGGGACTGTCCAATGAATTGATTGACTATGTTCAAATTACCTTTTGCTTATTCATCATGCAGGAAATATTTTATCTCTGGAGTTTCTATGGAGGGAAGCGAAGAGCAAATGGATTCAGCGATATCAAAGCACATGCAGTCACCAAAAGGGGGCCACCTACAAAGCAAGCTCTGGATCCATTTGCTAAACTGGAGGAAATAGAAACAGTAGAAACATTTGATTTTCCCAAAGGAGAAACAATGGAGCCATCAGTGGAAGCAGAGCCATTCGGTCTTCCCAAACTAGAAAAGTTGGGGAGATTTGAGACAGCAAAGCGGCTAAATCTTCTCAACATGGAAACAAGAAAACCTTATTGTTTTCCCAGAGCCAGAACTGTGATGCCGTCTGGCATTCCACAGATTGAGTCGACGTTTAGATTGTTGCTGAAAGTGAGCCGGATAAGAGATTTTATCCAGCTGTTGTTGAGTTATCTTGTGGGAACAATGCATGATAGCAAACTCAAGGCTTGGATTCAAGAAGCTTCAAGTAGGAGACATTCTCTGAATGATTTGAATTGCCTTCTCAATCAGAAGCCTCTTCAATGCTTCCGAGGCCTTTTACCAATTTACATATTGAAGAGCGTGGAAAGCGGTTGGAGTCCCATCTATGCTTAGTCCACCGGGACACCAGAAGACATTCTCAATTTATCTGCGAATCTTGTTGTGGATCAATTGGTTCAAACTTTATTGTTTGAGGATAATCATGTACGAAACATTCACCATGTCCTGTTCTCTACGAGAGATGCAGCTGAAAAAAGACTAGTTAAAGGGAAAATAGAATCAGCCTTGAAAGATAAGGAAATTATGCTTCGCCTTCCTGAAACCTTCTCCAGAGTCTTACTCATCGACGCCTCAGATTACCAAGGTCTTGCTACGGAGATCCATATTCAACAGCAGATAGCTCAACAACTTCAACTTCCATTGATAGAAGGCAATGGCGATTGGCTTAAAACAAGTATTGAAAAAGAGATGTGAAGAGAAAAATCCTTGGTGCTTTTGGCGGATGGAGAAGCCAAAGAGCCTCTTGATCCTCGCAAATTGGGTTTTCCTGAAGAACTTGCGGGAGTTGTGGTGTGCATTACAACTGAATCTTCAAAGCAGGCTAATAGTGAATTAACAATGGCAATGGATCTGAATATCAACGCAAAGGATAACTTGTTGCTGTGGGAAGTTTTCTGTTGAGAACATCAAAATTTCGATGTTACTATCATCCAATGCTCAGAGAATGGCCGTGCGTATAGTTAAAGAATGCGGTGCTCATCTTCTTGCTGGTGTCATTGTGGCAAGATCACTAAGGAATGCAAAACATGTTCCACAATGGGAACCTGCTCTGGTCAAATTGAGTTCACTCCATCCTTCCTATGACATTGGTACGTTTCAAAGCCAGAGCAGTGTCTTACATAAAGCATTCATAAACTTCATCTGGCATGATTTAAGTAAGACACAGAAATATTGTCTTACATCATGCTTATTCATTTCTAAATTTGGGAAGCCAGAAAATGAGTTGATAAATTATTTTCTTCTCGATTAGTGGGTGCTGGAGAAGCAAAGCATAATCTGACAGAGCTTGTGGACCGTTTTGCCTTATTGCAATTAAAGGAGAAGAAGTCGAGGTATATTCAAATTTCACAAGACATATATGATAGCTTGCAATTATTAACCACTCTGAATCCTTTGATCATGAAAAAATCTGAGTTGGGGTTGGTTGAACCACCAAAGAGTGAGCTATGGCATAGTGCTATATATATTGACTTGGTGGACAATAAGCTATATGAGCTACCTTTTTCCCGAATTGTCATGAACTCAAAGTGTTAAAGTTGCACAACGATGCTGATTTGACAAAAATCCCACCCCATTTTTTCTTTAAGATGCCTCTACTTTGCATCTTGGATTTGTCCTACACTAGCATTAGAGAATTACTGAACTCCTTTTTTAAGTTGGAGCAACTTAGGGAACTCCATATGAAATCTTGTGAATGCTTCATGAAACTATCCTCAGAGGTTGGGAAATTGAAGAATCTAGAGAAGATTGATCTTGACAAGACTTAGATTACACATTTGCCAAAACAGATCCAGGAATTGACCAATCTCCAAAGTTTGACTTTGTTTGTATGAGTATCATGGCAAGAAAAGTAAAGAATATATGAGCTCAGCAATTATTCCTTTTGGGGTGATTTCAAAGCTTAGAGGCCTCAAACATTTAAGCATTGATGTAAACCCCGATGATGAGAGATGGGAAGAGAATTTACAAGTCATTCTACTAGAACTCTTCATATTAGAATGCTTGCAAACTATTAGTTTGTAATTCCAGCACTAGAACTTTTAAATCTCATACTTGCACCCTTTTTTGAGCTTGATTTTAGATTCATTGTTGGGAGACATATGTCACGGATCATTTCAGGCACACTACATACAGTTGAAGAAAAATTTAAACAAAGTGAGTGTAGCGTAAAGTTTGTGAAAGGTGTTGATGTCCCTTATGAAATAACAAGTGTTGTTAGACATAGGAAGGCTTTATTTTTAGACAGACACATGACCATCAAGGATCTCTCAAAATTTGGCATGACAACTATAGAGCAATTACAGGTGTGTGTATTTACTGAATGCAAGGAGATGCAAACAATTGTTGATGGAAGATGCTTGAGTAGTAAGGATATACTTCGCCGCTTGGTAGTGTTCAGTGTATCATACATGAAGAATTTAAGAAGCATTTGTGAAGGAGAAGTTCATTCCAGTCACAGCTTTGGTATGTTGAAGATCTTAGCATTGCATAATTGTCCCAAGTTAACAACAGTTTTCACCTTGGATTTTCTGGGCAACCTTTCACTCTTGAAGGTGCTTGTAGATTGTCCAAAAATAAGTGCTTTAATATCTTGTGGACCCTCCAAACTCAGATCAGGTACTTTCCTCCCAAAATTGTTAACAATGACACTTCTCCATCTTCTTGAATTGATCAGCATTTCCAATGGATTGCACATGGGCCCAAGTTTAGGAAATATAGGAATTTATGATTGCCCAAAACTTCAGCAGTTTTCAAAAATGGAACTGTCAAGTAAAAATTTGAAACTCATCAAAGGAGAAACCAAGTGGCGGGAGGCATTGACATGGAGTCAAGCAAAATGGGGAATGGTTGGCCGGCCATCTGTTTTTGATTGCATCTTTTGTCCAATTGATAAATAGGCTGACATTATGAGTCAATTGGAGTTCGACGATGATACTGATGACACTCTAGGTAAATCTATCTGATATTTGATTTTAATTTTATTTTTTGTTTATTGCTAATGTGTTGTCATAACCTTATTTACTTCCTTAAATTTTGGCCCCAAAAGGATTGTTCCTTAAATATGGTGAATTAGCAATGACCCACATGACAATTACTTTACTCACTTTGTGAATTGCTATTGAGATAGGGGGGATAGTGGGTGGGCCACTGCAGCCTTCCAGCGGCAAGGTCTCTGAGGATATGGGGTCTGTCACATCATGTGAGATAGTGGGAGAGCCACTACAGTCTTCGAGCAATGAGGCTTCCAAGTATAGGAGGCATATCTATGCATAATTATGTACTATCATTTACCTTAGCTCTTAGGATTATAACAAAGTAGCTTTATTTTCTAAAACAATTCTTAAATTACAGAAGAATCGAATCAGTCAAATCAGTCATCCCAACATGGATGAAGCAATATGAGTCTTTTGAAGATGAACATAGTTGGAGGAAATATGGCGAGAAAAGGATTCTTGGAGCAAAATTTCCAAGGTACCACCACGTTTGACCTACCAATTATATATATGCCTCTTTTGACTCGCACTCCCTTGTGGTCTATGCGCAGACAATATTTCAGATGCAATCACAGAAATCTACGTTGCCGAGCTAAAAAACATGTGCCGAGAGATGAAGAGGAGCCTTTCCTCTACCATATCACCTATCATGGTCATCACACTTGCACACAGACCTCTATTGTAACAAATTCCCCCATGAACCATCAGTTCGACTTAGGGGCTCAATCTGAGGTAGATGATGATAATGATGATAGTTACTATCATTCGGGTAATTCTATGTCTATTTATAATTTTAATATATGTCGATATTTCAGTGTGAGAGTATTTTAAAATCAAGCAAAAGTGGCGTGGATAAGAGCAGAAATAGGGGTAGGCCTTTCCATAGCATCCAGTAACCATACATGAAGGGGGAATTGGGCAGACTTAGCATTTCATAACCTCTTTTTCTTCCTGTAATAAGTGGAATTTATATCTATAGCACAACGGTTACCCTTGATTCCTTGGCCCTGTTAAAATCTCGAGCTTCCCAGCCTTCTAGTTTGAGGATGCCTGTGGATCGAAAGCAAATTGCAAACAGAAGCGGCAGGTATATAAGCATAACTATATCCCACTTATCTCTTTTTATTTAGAAGGCTATACAAAAAGTTGTGTGTATTTGTAAGCTTAATTGTATTTCAACTATCTCTAAAATCACTGACAGGGGAAGCGACACTAGCACACAAGCCTCCGTTTGCCAAAGCTTGTTTTAATTTATAGTACGAGTTCGAGGGGCAAGTCAGCATCCAATTCAGATCTCGAGTCATTTTTTACCGTGGAACATTGTATTAAACCTTCAACGAATGAAACATATAACTACAGTGCAGACACAAGTTGAACTGGCTTTTTTTAATCATCCAGGAGTTTATAGTTCCACATCTGACCAATTCGACAACTCTCTTCTTGAGCAGATTGTGTTGCCATGCAACAAGGATTTGTTTGAAATGATACACCCACATCCTCTTCTATGTATTTTTAAATTCTCATTAGGTCACACTTGTTATATATGATACTTGTTTGGAAAATCAATATTTTGTAAACGTTGCAAAATTGTTTGGCTACTCTCTTGGATGATCTCTCCTTTTGTACGTTTTCAATGAGAGTTGGTTGCGGATTGGGGAACAAATGAGCATGAAAATCTATTACTTCCCTCATTCACTGACTGAATAGCAACATGAAGTAGCACAAATTTGCCAAATGCCCATGGAAGAAGGAAAATGCGAGAAATTTGCAAGGGGGTAAGAGCAATCTCTGTACCACTCACGGCAGCTTGATGCAAGACTGTTAACAACTATTCATTGCTAGGAGTCAGTGTTGAGTCCCATTGCTATGATTCCATGTTAAAAACAGTATTAAAAAAATTACTATCAAATAGTAAGAGAGTAATCTCCACTGAATTCATTTGTTTAAATGGCCCATGAGTTGAACCCAAAATGTTAAACCAACGCACATTGACATAGATGGATGAGGGTCTATGTCTGTTAACCATTGCTCCCCGGTTTGATTCCGTTGGAGGATGAGAATAGAGCTGACGTGTTTGGGAGGGTGGCCCTCATAGCTGGGCCTCTGCAAGTCCTGAGAAATTAGTCTCCTGTCACTCAAGTGGGGATACTCTGGTATTTCACCAAAGTGTTAAAATTCACAGGGAACTATTACACCGTACAATATAAAAGTCCAAAATGGGAGAACACAGTCCATGACCTGAGCCGATCTAAGAATCAAATATATCCATCCGGATCTCGAACCCGAGGCCCGAATCTACGACTATATAATATAAATTGGTAATATTTTCCTTCTGACCAATATGTGCATGTTGATGTTCACCTTCTTGGACGGGTTCACGTTGGGTGTCGAACGGATCGTCCTTTAAACGGCGCCGTTGCGCCGCGCCTTTCTTGTCTTCTTTTTAAATATTTGTGTTGCGCTGTCAGAATTTACCTCTTCTCTCACGCGGTGCACTGCCCCCCTACCCTTTCTCTTGTCATGCTCTATCCACTCATTCTGTATTTTAAAAATGTGAAATTTTGTCTTTAATTTTATTTCTTATGTATAATTTAATTTTTAATTATTTTAGCGATGTAATTTTGCTCATGATCTTTTCTTTATGCAATTTTACTTATAATTGTTTTAGTAGTGCAATTACATCTAAAAAAAATATGGGTAAAATTGTACCGCTAAAAATATCAAAAACAAAATTGCACTTAAAAAATAAGATTAAAAGTAAAATTACCTTTTTATTCTTTAAAAAATTAAAATTTTTGATTGATATGTTTATAAAGAATTATGGACAATCAAGCCATGTTGAGATTTTTCGTGAAATAGTGTGGAAGGTCTAGTTTGTAGTTTACATATTATATGATAATTTTTTTTCAAATGACTGTAATGTTTAATTTTTTGAACTTCTTTCAATTATTTCAAATATTGATTCATTCGTCAAACTTTATTTTAAAAAAACTTGCTTATAGTTTATTGACTCAAAAACTATAGGAATTGAACTGTTTCGCATTAAAAAAAACAAACAATTAAGGCTTGGTAGGCTGAGTTATTTTCGAATTGTTGAGTAATAACAAAACAAGGATAGGATTATTTCAGATTCACGTTGAATAGTCGAGCCTTTTGCTTATATTCCACGAACTTGGAATACGCTTAATCGTTAATACACGATGAATCAATTGAAGTTGAAAGACTAACTAAAGCAGATATTAGCATGGGACTCACGGATCGGCAGTGAAGCGCAATAAACCTGATCAATGGATGCGGTCAATTTTACCATTTGCTTAATTGAGGCGCAACCGTAAATAACACGAGCCAAATTAAGAAAATAACCCGCATTGTAGAGCAAGAGGCATCCTGGAAATAAGGCTTAGGCCAAACCAAGTTCATCTCCCTAAGATGGAAAGGAGAAAGATTACCCAAGCTAACTTCTGGTAAACATTAAAGCAAATATCAAGGATGACAATAGTTTTTGAGATTTTGCAGCATACAATCGTTTGAAAGCATAACAAGTTAAAAATGCCAGTCTTATGCTTCTCAGTACATATTATTATGAGCAACAAGGAAACATTTGGACCAAACATAACAATTCTTGTACTTTTGACACACCACCAACTCGCACAAGTTTCCAACATTCTTGTGAAAAATTAGCCCAAATGCTTCAGCTTGAGGGAGCAATCTCAATGATGGCTAAGTCCTTTTATTTTTCAATCATTGCGATGCTTTACATTCTTGAAAATTCTATAGTCAGAAGACTCAATATTTTTTTTTTTGGCTGTTGAGCCTTCACATCCCACAGAAAACTTGAAATGAAGAAACTCATCTCTCCATGATTCGATAGCCTTGCAGAATGTTTCAAGGGTCTCTCAGAAAGGAAACCTGCATATGAAAGTTATTACATTTTCTAAGGAAACAAATTTTTGTATTATAATTTCAGCATCATCACAGCATTGCGGTAGGGATTATCACTTCGATGGTTAATATTTTTAATTTGTAAAGCACTAAAATTGGATGATAGTTACTTGAATTAATCTCCACTTTGATCGTGGCTTCCAATGTATAAGACTCTTACAAGATAAATTGTGTGAATCTCACACAGGCTGCAATTGTAAATCTCATGGGTTTGCTTGCATATTGTTAAAGAGAACATTGTATAGTACAGTGATGCGGCCTGGGTCAATAGCGGTCAAAAGATCAAAGGTGGACATTTTGATCAGTTTCTTTTGTCTTTCAGAACACCTAGCCGAAAAGACATTTTAATCTATTTTGAAAATAAAAAAGCAAACAGGGCCTAAATATAATATATAACCCCAAGAATAAGATATTAGATATCAACAAGAAGAAAACGTTGTCTTTTTGGGGTAGTTACTCACCGGTTTGCCGATAACCTTGGTGGACTTTGACAAACTCCCACTTCTCATGGCAAGGCCTTCAAAAGTCAAAGCATAATGCATTAAGAAGATATCAGATATTTTAGCTACTAAAGTGATTGACGCCTATGATCATATAATTAAATTTGAAATCCCATCATACAATACCAAAAGAACATTTCAAAAATCGAAAAGAGAGAAGCACGCATCACATAATTGAAGCACTTGCATTCATTCGAATCTCTCCCAACTAATGGGAGAACTCTTCTTATTTAAAAGGTATTGTAATATAGAATCAATATGGAGGGGAAGACAAGAGAAGAAACTCTCACTTACCAGTCTAGCGGTAACTATGCCTTGAAACATCTTCCATGCCTCAGTAGGTGATAAACCATAAACTCCAACTTGGGGCGTAGGCGTGCATTCCATCAAAGCCTTCACCCAACCAATGGAAGTCTTCTCTAGGACCTGCTCAAGGGTAATTTTTGGAAAAGGAAAGTTGCATTTAAAGGTTGTTAAATTTTTCAAAGAAGCAACTTGTTGTATAATATTTTCAGCATCGTCACACCATTGCCATGGGAATTGCACTTCGATGGTCAATTCTTCTAATTTGCAAAGCTTTGAAATTTCATCGTAATTACCGCTTGTAATGTAGGAGGTTCTCAGGCACCGCAAACTTTTCAAGCATGGCACAAAATTTACTCCACTACCTCGAATGTCAAATACCTCAAGATGTTTAAGTGGTTGGATCTCATGTGAACATATTTTCAACTCTGAACACCCATTTATATAGAACACCTTAAGGCTGGTTAATCCTGATAAAGATGGCAACTCCCTTATGTTAGTACCATACAAGTTTAACACAAGAAGATTGCCCATGCTGCCAAAATAATCAGATGAGATTTGAACCAACTCCGGATTCTTTTGTAACAGTAGTGTTTGAAGACTCTCATAATTTTGGTTTATTGGCAGACTGTCCCTTTTACTGCCAACCATAGAAACCCATCTAGCATTCTGCCATGATGCTGATCTAAAGGCCTCATCATGTTCTTCATTATCAACATAAGTTTTACATTCGGAATCTGAAAACTTGGATGATATATGTGAAGCAAGTTGCCTGTGGAGGTCATTCATTTTAATATACCTCATTTGGTCCCCTTCCTCTAAGAATGCAGCATTAACAAGGTGTCTCAATATTACATTAATACCTCGACTGCGCGTAGCACTATACTTAGTAGCTGCATTAACAACGCCGAGAAAGCCCTGAGCTATACAACACTCGACAAAGTAATCTGTGTATATCTTGCTATTTGCAGGATATAGTGAAGCATAAAGGAAGCATTTCTGTTTACTTTGATCACCCAACAGTTGATAACAAATTTCCAAGATTGAGTATAACTCTTCTAAACCTTCAACTTTAAACTGAGGCCAAGGCGCCCATTCATCCAAAGCCCTCTGCCAATCTGGGGGAGACTCTTGATCTGTAAAAGACTTTGCAATAGGATTTATAAGGAGGGGAAGGCAACAGCAGAACCTCTTACATACCAGTTGAGCGGTTGGAATGTCTGGTAAACAATTGTTACCAACAATACTTCGAAACATCTTCCATGCATCACCAGCGGGTAACGTTTCAATCTTGACTTTCCTATCAACTCGTTTCGACTTCACAAGAAGAGGATAATGAGTGGTTATTACCACTTTACTATGTCTTTTGTCATTTGAAATATCTAACTTTTCCCAAATATCATCTAGTATGCGCTTTGGCCTTATGCCATCTAAAATCAGCAAATATCTCTTGTTCTCCAGCACTTCCCGTATTCTTCCCGCAACTACGTCAGGTTTATTACCTTCTCTATCCACCTTTATTCGATTTGCAATTTGCTCTAGAATGTGAAGGTCTTTAGTTTTTTCATCAGACGGCACTTTGATGAAAATGACCATATCAAACATGCCATCCCTATCAACAAAATAGTTATTCAAGTTCTGCATTATTGTTGTTTTCCCCACTCCTCTTTGTCCATCAAGTGCCACGCATTTTACTCCGTTATTATCATCTTGTAGCAGAGTCAGAATTTCTCGGAAGGCTTTGTACTGAGTCGGATACTCCTCAATTGATGGAACACCAGTCTCCTTTATGAGCCGCTCTGGCAGCTTATGGATGTCAGCAAGCGAAGCGGTGGGTCTTTCAAATATGGACCTTATTCCGCTAAGCGCATGATCCACAAAAGGTTCCAAAAGAGTTGCAGTCGCAGGAACATATATATTAGCCATTGAGAAACTCCACAGCCTGGGGAAGTACGGTTTAAGAAATGTTTACAGATAATATTATTAACGAAACAAGTTTGATATAGAATCATTCTTTTAAGTTATACTCCTCCTATCCTTAATATAAGACCCATTTAACTAATTTGATTAGATTAAGGAAGTTAGGTAAGTTAGCTAATTATAATAAAAGTGACACATTTTTCTTAAAATACCATAATCATTTTTCTTAATACCCCTCCCCCTCTTCTACTTGATTATGGTTGAAAGAGTATCCATAGGAGTAATTTAGAGAAAATTGATAAATATGATAAATGAGTCTTATATTTAGGACCAAAACCAACTCAAGAATTAGGTCCTGTATTAAGGATCGGAGGAGTATTTGTTAAGAGATCAAAAATGCATGTTTTATATCACTCTACTCCTTATCACAAGGCACCTTCAGGAGGGGAAAAAGACCTTGTTATAAGACCATAATTAATCACACTTTCTGTCTTCTTTTTTGTTGTTGTCTACCCCCCCCCCAAAAAAAAGCAATTTGCTGCTTGAATAATTCATGCTAGTGCAGTTAATATTAGCAAATTAAAACAATATTCCTAATAAGGACAAATATTGATTAAGCCCAATTCCTCAATCAAACCTCAGCACATGATTTTCTTTAATAATAAAAATTCATATACAGATAAAATTTCAAAATTCTAGCAAACCGTTATTAATAGTGAAAACCTATGTGGCAGTATTCAATTGGAGAATTTAAACTAATAGATATAAGTGAATAGACTTAAATTTTTTTCTTATTAGTAAAAGGCTTCGGTTAGTATTTGCTTTATTAGAAAATTGTTTGCACCCGACATAACTATAATTGTAATATCAAAAAAAATAATAATATTCAGATTATGATTTGTCGCTTGAAATTATTAGACTTCATCAGGGCAATAAAAATCTGTGTTGTAGCCGGATATTGCTAGAGGACAGCTTGTCCCTAGCTCTCGAGATTTGGCCTCTCCAGATAAACCACAAGAGGCCTGTTGGCCTGGTGGCAAGTACGATGCGCTTGTGGCACTGGGAATCAGGGTTGGAACTCTGCCAACATGTTCTGTGAGCTTGCGTATTTCCGAAATCACAAGCTGCAGCTGATTTGCTCTTAATCAGGGTTTGAAATCATGTTAGAAAACTTTGAATAGTCAATTAGTCGGGCTTTCTGGCAATGAAAAAAAGAATCGGACTTTTTATTCAAAAATATTTAAGTGTAAACCAAATCATTGTTTTAAAAATAATTTTACGAAATTCAAAATAAATATATAAAAAGAATTTTATTTTGATTTATGTGAAAGTATTTTTTTTAAGTGATGCTGGTGTCTTCTAAACACTCACTTAATCTTTAGAAATTTTTATATACTACCATCTCATATAAATTTTTTCACCGTTCTTTCTGAAACTAACATCACGCTTCCTTGAATCCACGCTCAGGCATAAAGACATGCCTTCATATCCAAGCCCTTCCGCATCTCCCCCCCCCCCCCCCCCCCCCAAAAAAAAAAAGAAGCATTTTTAAGTTCCACACTTCCACTTCTTTCCAGTTTTTTATTCCAAAATTCTTAACTCCAAATTAATATTAATTATTTAATAATTTTAACTGTTAGGAAAGTTGAATCGCTTACCATTTAACTATTTTTATAATTTCTTTTATATTATATAAAAATTATATTTTTATTTAAATATTTAACTTTTATTAAATTAAATTTGACTTTTATCATATTTTTTAATGAAAAAAAGTCTATGCAGTTTATAGATATTAGTCTCAAAACTAAAATGACTTAAGAAAACTCTTAGTTTATACCAAACAACAAATACATGATCTAAAAGAAAAGTCATTAAATTTTAAAACAAAATTAATAAGATTTAAATTTTTTTAGTCTCAATAAATATATTAAAAGTGAAATCCACAGGCACATTAAAAGAAGCATAATAATTTTCATGAAACCTAAAAGTGCAAGCCTCTTCCGATTTATAAGTCACTTATCAGAAAAAAAAATTTGTTCCTAAATATAAGTTATTTATAGGATAATTAATAATAATAATTTTTTCAATTCAACCCCTGTTGACTTAAATAGGTGAGAGAAAATATAAAACATTTTTTTTATACTCTTCATTTAATAAGGACAAAAGGTGAAAATAATTATCAATTTAATGCACTTTTTGATTTGCAGGTTTGGCATACTGTAACTTATAAATAGAAACAGAGTTAATTACACTCTAGTCTCTACAAAAATTTGTAATATAATATAATTTATTTTTTTTTCAAAATATGTATTATTATCTTTGAATTACTATTAAATTGATCCAAAAACTTTGGAAAATTTGTTTGCTTGTAAAGATGTAAATAATACGGAATTTTAGACATTACGAGGGTTCAATAAAATATTTTGATTTAGCTCACAAGATTTTAATTAATTTTTTATTTCATCAAAAATTAAATTGAAAATTAAAAAAATGTACTCAAAAATTATTTCGTTTAAATTTAAAAAAAGTTAAATATATAAGAAAATATATTTTTGGATATAATATCAGATAAATTATAAAAATATTTAAGTTATAAACTATTCAACCTCCTGGCAATTAAAATTATTAAATATTTAATATTAATTAGGAGTTAAGAATTTTGGAATGCAAAGATGGAAAGAAGTGAGGAAGCGTGCAACGTCAAATTAACTCATTTGGAGATTAATCACTCGATATTCATTTTATTTAAATTATATATAGGCCTCATTTATCTAAAAATTTCACAGACAATATTTTTACCCAATTTAAAAAATTATTCAAAAAAATCTTTGTACTTTTATTAATGAAATTTAATATTTTTCTATTTTATTAATTTTATTTTTTAATTTTAAAATGATTGTTTGTTTTTTTTAATCATATTAGAATGGAAGTTGAAGTAATTTAGTTAACGTAGAGACAAAAATTTAACTAATTCTGATAATCAACATATACTTCGACCAAGTGTGTTTATAGATGTCTGAAGTAGAAAAATGCATTTAAAAATTTTAAATTATAAATTTAAATGATTTACGTAATCCCTCAAGCACACAAACTTATCATCATTTATACTATGCAATACAAAATATGCGTTTAAAATATGTTTTTAGGTATTTAAAAAAAGCTTAAAGAAACAAGTTCATGTGATGAGAAATTAGAATTATGAAACATTATAATATATTATTAGAATTATTCTTAGAAATGTTTAAATAATTATTATGCTAAATAGGACTATTTTGGTCCAAGAGAAATTTAAGAGTCCAACTTAACCGTCATCTAATGGTTCACGGGAATGAAAATGGATTTTCAATTATATAAGAAACTTGTGCAACATACTTTTTAATTTTAATGGAAGTTTCTCAAAACAAATTGGAGGTCTTTGTAATTTAATGAAGGAAGGTAGTTAGTATATTTTACCCTAAATTTTATAAATAAACTTATTAATTTTATGAATAAATAGTTATTTTTAACACAAATAAGTGCATTTAATTTATGATTATTATTTTTGGTTAATTCATGCATGCCTGAAGATGTAATGCAGCACATCCGATTAACGCAAATATAGTTATAGAAGAGAAAATATGACTTGTTGAATTAAGTAAAATATGGATCACTTACTAGTTATATAGCAAGCGTTTGGACCGTTCAACTTTCTTGGTTCTCCCCTTTTAGCGTTATATGGATAAGAACTACGCAGCTAACATCGATCAAGTAAATAATCTCCTGAGTAAAAACATCAACTTGACATTTTTTTCCCTGCAAAACCCAGTGTAGCTAGCATCAAGCTCTTTGTAAGTAAATTTGGTGAGTAGAATCCCACAAAGGTAATTTAGCCACCTTCTAACTACGCCTCCCCCCTTCCTTTTTTCTATATATATGTATGTTTGGATACATATAAAGCCCTTTCAACATCATATCTATCACAATTCACAAGAGAAATTGAATGAAAGGAGTGATGACTTGCGGCTTTCTGATTTAATGGCATTCAATCTTTTACTCAAAAAAAAAAAAACTAATGACGAGAATCTCTTCACTTATTAAAATAAAAATGTGAGCGCCTTTCCTACAATATGAGATTTTTATTTTTATATTAACACACTAAATGAAAATAGAAAACATTTCAGGTAGCCCTCCTCCTTTTTTTTTTTTTAACCTTTACTTTCCTCATTTGAATTTATTCAATAATAATATCGTCGTCGTCATGGTCACTTCCAAAGGTCATTAAAGTTGAATAGAGTTGTTGTGGGGATTTTGAATAGACTTGTTGTGGGGGTTAAGTTTGAATGTACGTCGTTCTTCAG